GAGCCCGACATGGAGACGCTGATCCTGACGCCGCCGCCCGGCACGGCGGGCCTGGACCAGGACGGCGAGGCGGGCCGGCGAGCACGAGAGGTAGCCTTCATCCACATCCAGCGCGAGCTGCGGCTGCGCGGCGTCTTCCTGCGCCACGAGTTTCCGCGTGTCTATGAGCAGCTCTGCGAATTCGTCGAAGCCAACCGGCGCTTCACTCCCACCACTATCTACCCCACTGACCGTCGCACCGGCCGCCCCTTCATGTGCATGATCATGGCTGCCTCCGAGCCGCGCGCGCTTGACTGGGTGGCCAGTGCCAACCTGTTGGATGACATCATGTGAACCCGGGGGCGCGTCCTGGCCCCGCCCAGTCCACCCAGAGCCCACCCTGAACCCCATCCAGTCCACCTGAGCCCCGCCCAGTCCACCTAGGGCCCACCCACCGAACCCCACCCAGTCCATCCAGAACCCTGCCTCTGCCACGCCTTGAGTCCCCCAGGCCCCGCCTATGTCCCGCCCCTTTGCGTTCTCCACAGGCCCCGCCTTTCCCTCCTCGCCCTCGCCTATTATTCCGCACCCCGCCAAGCCTCGTCCAAGCTTTCCTTTCTCCCCAAGCTCGCCCTCGGGCCTCCCCAGAGGCCGGTCCTCGGCCGCTTGGTGCTTCCCGCTGGGAGGTGGGGTGGGTCTGAGGACCGCTCCGCCCCGCCTTCACGCAGAGGGGTCACTACTGCAGACCCCCCGCACACATCCGGTTCGTCCGTCCCCTGTCCATCTACAGGGCCTCCCTGGAACTTTCCCAACCCTGGTTCGCCCTGGTCCAGGAGCCCGTGTTGACCAAAGCCTCATCCCGTCCCTTTAAACTCAGCCTCCCACCCGCCTCCCGTGGTCTGGAATGCGTCCTGCTCAGAGGCCTTTCCTCTCTAGAGGACACCCTGATTGGCCTCCGTATGTCCGCGTCACGAGCATGCTCCAGCCTGGTGGGCCGGGCCGGCGTGTAACCGCGGTTTGTTTCTCCCGGCCCCCGCTGTGCCAGACCTTGAGCACGCACATTGACGGCGCTACCCGCCCTGCTGCAGGGTTTGGGGCTAGCGGCAGTGAAGGGGTACTCGGCATGGGAGGGTCTTCAGCCAAGGCACAAGACACGCCGCCAGAAGGAAGGGGTTCCTGGGCGGGGGAAGCACAGGGTATGTGTAGGGGCGCCGGCCAGTGCTGAGACCTGGTTGGGCGAGCAAACGGCAGCGCAGGCCCTAACCTCACAGGGAGACAGGAAGCAGGTGAAGGATGGATGAGCGGGAGGGGCTGAGGAAGCCGTCCAGGAGAGCCTCTATTCTCTGGAGTAGAGAGGACAAAAGAGGAGGGGCGTTCCCAGTTTGGAACCGGGAGGAGGAAGTGTAGATGGGAACAGGCGAGGGAGCGAGCTAGTCCGCCAGGGCGATGGTCCATCAGGAGAGATGGGGGCATGATTGCATAAACACCCCCGTGCGCGCGCCCGCGCCACCTGGCCGCGCTCTGTGGTGAGGGCTGGACACGCGAGGCTTGCAGCCAGGTTCCAGTTCCCTGGAGCGCAAGTTCCGGTGTCCCTCGTATCCCGCCCTCCCCCGGGGTGCGCTCCAAATATGGTTAGTGACCTGCAGAGGGGGTGAGGCCAGGCGCCCGCCAGGGCCCTCCTGTAGCCCCCAAACCCCCATCGGGGCCAAGTGGGGCACCATTTAAATTTAATTGCGGACGTCCCCCCAATCACCTGCCTTCTTTCCCGGTCCTCGCCCCCGACTGCACCCGTGCCCATCTCCCCTCATCCCTTCCCCAACACGCCCGCGCGCCTGCCTCGGCTCCGCGCATTTGCACAGGCCAACGTGCCCCGCTTGCCCCACTGGCCTTCGCGGCCTCCCAAACCTGGCCGCTGCGCCCCCTCGCCCCTGGGCCTCGGCCTTCCTCCCCGCGCCTGAGGGCCGGCGGTCCAGGAAGGATCCTGGACCGGGATTACTTCCAGAGGGCGAGCGCTTTCGAACCAAGGAAAATAGAACTCGAATGTAGCCAGTGCTGCCTCGTTCATTGTGCAGAGTGGGTGGGATGCAGGATGCAGTGCTTCGGAAACGGGGGAGACCATGGAATAATGGCGGAGAGACAGGGGAGATCTTCGGACACAATGGGGGAAGGGGGAGGGAGGAAAGTCATAGGACAGCACGGGGCTGCGGGGGAGAGCGAGGGACTCGGACACAGCGCGGGGGCCCGGGAGGGAGGCCATGGGACAGCGTGGGGGGTATGGGAAGGGAGGCCTTCGGTAACGGTAGAGGGGACCAGGGCCGGCGCGCGTTCCCTCGGGCATCACGGGCCGCCGAGCCCCCTCCAAAGGGGCCTGTCATCCACTCCCGACCCCACTGGTAAGGAACTTAAACTCGGTTACATTGAACCATCACCTACTCCTGCTGCCACGTTCTCCTTTAAATGGGGCCGGCGTGGTGTTGGGCTGCAAAGAGCTGGATTGCGATTGGCCAGTCCGTGCTGCGCGTTGGCGGCACGATTGGCTGAGGCGCTGGGCCCGGGCAGCATGTCCCCACGGGATTGGTCAAGAGCCTCGAGGCTCCGCCCTCCACGCTGACGTGCACCCCGGGGTCGCGATGGGAAGGGCCACAGGCCTCAGGGGCGGGCGCCCTCCGGGAACATGGCGGCGACGGACCTCGCCCAGATCCCCGACGTGGACATCGATTCGGACGGCGTCTTCAAGTACGTCCTGATTCGAGTCCACGCAGTGTCGCCCTCCGGGGTCCCGGCCGGGGAGAGCAAAGAGATCGTGCGCGGCTACAAGTGGGCTGAGTACCACGGTGAGCGCGGGGCTGAGGGCCAGGGGGCGGGGTCTCCTGCGTCTGTGGGCGGGGCTGAGGGGCGTGACGGGAGGTGATCCTGTACCCCGTCTCATCCCGTGCTGGCCGCGGCGAGGCGGAGTCCTGGAGGCGAGGGGCTGCTGTGGCCCGACCCCTCCCTCCTAGGCCCAGCGCCCCTGCCCTGGCGCACCCCCTCCTCCCTTTCCTCCCGTCCCAGAGGGGCTCCTCTCCTGGGGAGGGAGCTGCTCAGAGCCCGGCTCCAGACCTCCTCAGCATCGGCGCGTGCTGAGCCGCCCTCCCTATCCCAGCCGACATCTACGACAAGGTATCAGGCGAGATGCAGAAGAAGGGCTACGACTGCGAGTGCCTGGGGGGCGGGCGCATCTCCCACCAGAGCCAGGACAAGAAGATCCACGTGTACGGCTACTCCATGGTGAGCCCGCAGCCCCCGGGTGGGCCGAGGGGCCCAGTCCTGGTCTGGAGACATGGCCCTCTGAGCTGCCTGACCCGGGGTGCTCGGTGTTCTCTGGCGCTTCTCAGCTGCAGAACCCTCCATCCAGGGCCTGTAGCTCCCCCATTTCCTGTGTGGCGTGCCACGGGGAACACGTGTGGTGGAAGGGAGGCCACTACCTGGCCCCCTCCCAGCCATGGCAGGCTGTGTGCTGTTCCTGCCCTAGAAGGCCTGGTTGGGCTATCGTCCTCCAGTTCCGTGAGGCAGTCAGTGTTGGGGTGAAACTCAGAGGCCGCACCCTCTCCCTTCCCCAAGCCACCAGCAGATACATGGGCACTCACATGGCCTTTCTTGGCCCCTAGAGTGGTCTGGACCTCGGGCTAAAGGGCTCTCCCTCAAGATCTGTTCTCCTTGATTTCCCCAAGAGAGCTCCCTGGGGTGGTTGGGGGGATCACAGCCCCCTCCCGAGCTGGCTCCTGGTGTCCCTGCAGACTGGGTACCCAGAGCCAGGATGGGGCTGTAAGAGCCACCTTCTCCCTCAGGGTTATGGCCGCGCCCAGCACTCCATCTCCACTGAGAAGATCAAAGCCAAGTACCCCGACTACAACGTCACCTGGGCCGACGACGGCTATTGAGGCCCACCGGAGGCCTGCCGCCTCCAGGACCCTCTCAGAACTCTGCCCTCGAGGCCCCTTCCAAGGAGCTGGACTGCAGCCCCTGGCATTTTGCCACCCTGGCTAGGCCTTGGTGCCCGGGATTACCTCTCCAGGGAACATTAAAAGCATCATCATCTCTGCTGGTCCCCAGATGGTGTGTGTCTTGGTTTTTCTGTTCCTAGGTTACCTCTGAACTCCTGACGAGAGTAGGTGGGTAGTTGAGAGCCAGAGGCAGCCTTGGGGGCACAGGTCACTCCTGGCTGCTCCTTACCTGGCTCCACCTCTGGGCCCAGGGAGGGGCAGTGCACACTCAGCCCTTTGGGGTCTGATAAGGGGCCCCCGGGTTGCTGCCCCCGTTTATGGCCTGATTGCTGTTCCATGCACCTGCTCTCCCCAAGGACATCTGGGAGGAGGCCTGATGAGCCCTTACGCAAGGAGCTAGGGCCGAGTCCCTTGGGGCGGTGAGGCGGGGGCCCATCCCAATGTGTGGGGAGCGCAGGCACCAGCACCACCGTCCTGGCTGCCTCATGTCAGCATCCACGTGTGGTCTGCCCACTGAGGTCACAAGTGAAGTGGTGCACGACCTCTTGATTCCCAGATCAGGTCCCGCGGCCCCTACCCTGGAGTCACAGACTCCCACTCAGAATGAACAGGTAGGACTGCAGACTTGGAGCTGGAACTCCCAAGAGCCTGTTCCCCTTTTCTTGGCTGTGAGGAGTAGAGGTGGCATGTGGGGAGGGTAGGACCAGGCACGGCTGTCCCTGTGGCTCACCATGAGCGTGGGTGCCCCTTGCTGAGGCTGCGATCACATTGTGCCAGCCTCCTGTGAGCTCCCAGGGGCTTTGTAGTGGCCTCCCCAGACAGGCACTCTTGTGACCACATTTTACAGATGAGGAAACCGAGGCTCAGGTGAGATGAGCTCGCTTGGCCACACGGTGGTAAACTGTGGACAGAGCCTGGCTCTAAATCCTCCACTGGGGTCTATGCCACAAGGCCCAGGGCCCCTGGGCTTCTCTGGATACTGTGCCTGGCAGTGCCTGGCCCTCGCTGCTCAGGACACTTGCTGATGAATAAACAGTCATCACTTGCGAGTGAGCAGGACTGTGTGAGTTACGGAGGAGGAGGATGTCCCTGGTGCTAGGGCCGCCCCCTCCCCAAGCAGGGAACTCAGGGGCCAGGTGTGGGGTTTGCATGAGCTGGGTTCCTCCTGGCAGCCTGGGCAGGGCTGAGTTGAACTCCCAGGAGGTGTCAGGACACCTGTGCCACTCAGTGTTGCCTCAAGTGGGGCCTCTCCACCAGAGCTGTGCAGCCGTGGGCACGATGTCCAGGACCTGAACTTTGACCTAAAGGAGCCAGGCAGGTGGGAGCCTACCTGGGCCGGGGCCCCCTCTGGAGGCGTTTACAGCTGGATGTTCACCCTCGTGGGCACAGGGTGGGGCCGGGCCAGGGGCCGCAGGGACGGAAAGGGGCTGAGCCTCGCTCTCCAGTTAGAGCAGTCGGCCTGTGGGGCCTCAGGCCCATAACCAGGCTAAGTCCCTGCGAGGCTGGCCGGCATCCACACTGCCTCTCGGCATCCACAGATGCCTGACCATGCCTCTGCCCAGCCATCTCCTGCCTGCCCTGGTTCTGTTCCTGGGTGAGTAGTGGGGCCTGGCTCCTGAAACAGGAATGTCTGGGGGCTCCAGTAGTGGGCCTGTTAGGGAAGGAGGGTGCAGGCCCTGGATGACCTGCCTCTAGGGACGCACAGCGAGCCCTCGGAGTCCTAGAGATTGCCCCGCTGGGGAAGGGGCAAAGGTTCTGCTCTCGCTGGCCTCGACTTCCACCCAGGCTCCACGCTGAGAGGGCCCTGAAAGCAGACCCTAGTCTGCCACTCTTGACCGGGATGGAGCCTGAGGGGGCCTGGGCTGCCAGCTGATGCGGCCGCTTGCCAGGGGCACCCTGCCGACAGCCCCTCCGCTTCCTGGCTGGGCCCCGGTTCCCTTCCCCAGGTCCCTCGTGAGCCTATATACCCCTGCCCTGACATGCAGTCAGCCTTGCCAGGGCCAGATGCCCTCGGCTTGCCCCCATCAGGGACCCTCAGGTGGCAGCTCTCTCTGGGTCCCAGCCCCCTTCCTGCATGAGCCCCTGGCCTGGACCCCAAAGGAAGGTGACCAGTGTCCTGATATGCCTGAGCCTGGGGTTTCTGGGCCATGGAACCATCCAGAGCAAACTGGGGTGTGGGGCCACTGTGCCCCAGGCCACCTGGTTGCCTCTCTGTTGGCAGCAGCGTCCCCAGGCTGGGCGTGGGTCCCCAGCCGCTGCAGGCCCCCCCGGGAGGCTGTGTGCAACTTCGTGTGTGACTGCAGGGGCTGCCTGGACGAGGCCCAGTGCGGTGAGCCAGGGCCAGGCGGGGGGCAGCTGGGGCCAGCCCTCACAGGCAGCCCGCCTGACCTCCTGCCCTCCCAGGGTACTGCGGGGCCCTGCCCACCCTGGACGCCCCCTTCGCCTGCAGCTTTGAGCAGGACTCCTGTGGCTGGAGGGACATCAGCACCTCGGGCTACAGCTGGCTCCGCGGCAGGGCGGGGGCCGCGCTGGAGGGGCCGGGGCCGCTCGCAGACCACACTGTCGGCACTGACCTGGGTGAGGCCCCGGGCAGGTCTCTGCGCCACCCCCGCCTCTCTTTGCTTCCTGCCCTGTCCTCTGACCTCTGGGTCCGACCAGGCTGCTACATGGCTGTCGGCACACACCGCGGGAAAGAGGCGTCCACTGCATCCCTGCGCTCCCCGGTCCTGCGCCAGGCAGCCCCCACCTGTGAGCTGAGGCTCTGGTACCACACAGCTGCTGGAGGTGCGCGCCCAGGACCTTGAGACCGGGGGTGTCCCGAGGGGAGGGGCGAGCCGAGGAAGGGGAGCTGCTACAGAGACAGGAGGGCACCCCCAGGACGAGCAGGGGGAGGCACCAGCGGCCTAAGCTGCCCCTGGACTGCCCCCGCCGCCCACGCAGACGTGGCTGAGCTGAGGCTGGAGCTGACCCACAGCACCGAGACGCTGACCCTGTGGCAGAGCTCAGGGCCCTGGGTTCCAGGCTGGCAGGAGCTGGTGGTGGCCACTGGCCGCATCCTGGGTGACTTCAGGGTGAGATGGGGGATGGTCTGGGTGGCGGGGGCAGCGGGGAGCATCTGAGCTCTGAGTTACATCCCGAGGACCTCACTCTTCAGGTCACCTTCTCTGCCACTCGAAATGCCACGCACAGGGGCACTGTGGCCTTGGACGACGTGGCCTTCTGGCGCTGTGGGCTGCCCAGTAAGGCCCCTTTGCCGTGGGCCCATACCTGGGGGGCAGTGGGTTAGCAGGAGTCCCTCGGCTGCTCGCTCCTTGCTCGTTTGATCTTGACCCACTCCCCTGGCTGCGCCACCCCGGCCTCGCTCCCCAGTGACAGTTACTCCTCCCCTCTCCTAGCCCCTGAGGCACGCTGCCCCCTGGGGCACTACCATTGCCAGAACAAGGCCTGTGTGGAGCCCCACCAACTGTGCGACGGGGAGGACAACTGCGGGGACCGTTCCGATGAGGACACAGCCATCTGCAGTGAGCCGGGGCTGGCGGGCTGTGGTCATTCAGAGAACACCGGAGTGGGGTTGTCCCTTGGCACGGTCCTTCCGGGGGGCGAGGTAGCTGGTGTCCATCTGGAGCCAGGGCCACAGCACCGGGGGGCCATCAGCACAGACCTGGGGAAGGTGGGGCCTGGGGAGGAGGCCCTGATCTTCGGCCTGAGCCCCGACCCCCACTAGGCAACCACACGGCCACCGATTTTGAGACCGGCCTAGGCCTGTGGAACCACTTGGAGGGCTGGGCCCGGAACCACAGCATGGGCGGCTCCCAGTGCCCCACCTGGCCGCGCCGCGACCACAGCCGGAACAGTGCTCAGGGTGAGGTCCCCCAGGGACGCCAGCCGCCACCCTGGCCACAGCTGGCCACAGCACCCACCTGGCCAGCCCGGCCCACGCCCGCTTTCTCCTTAGGCTCCTTCCTGGTCTCCGTGGCCGAGCCCAGTGCCCCCGCCGTTCTCTCCAGCCCTGAGCTCAAAGCTTCTGCCCCCGACAACTGCTCAGTGAGACGGGTCGGGGAAGGAGGGCCGCCCGTCCTGACTGCCCAGGCCCTGGGGAGTCTCCCCTAACTCTATTTGCGCCCCTCCCAGCTCGTCTTCTATTACTATCTGCATGGATCCAAGGCCGGCTGCCTCCAGGTGTTCCTGCAGACTCAGAGCCCCGGCGCCCCCCAGGCCCCCGTCCTGCTGCGCAGGCACCACGGGGAGCTGGGGGCCGCCTGGGTCCGAGACCGTGTTGGCATCCAGAGCGAGCACCCCTTTCGGGTGAGGCTGGCGGGGGCGGTGCTGAGGGAGAGGTGGGAAGGCCCAGGGCCCCCTCCGGGAGCAGGGGAAGGGGGCCCAGGGAGTCCGAGCGGGAAGACAGGCTTGTGTGTGTGTGAGCAGGTCGAGGGCTGGGGTGGGGATGGCAGGGGGCATCCAGAGATAAGCAAGCCGCAGGGAGAGGGCTCGAGGGAGCAAACCTCGGGATGATAGAGGGAAGCTGGGGCACCCATGAGCCGCCTCTGCCCTCAGATCCTCCTGGCCGGGCAGACGGGCCTGGGGGGAGTCATAGGCCTGGACGACCTCATCCTGTCTGCCGGCTGCAAACCAGTCCCAGGTGAGCCTTTTGACTGCCCTCTGTCCTCAGGAGAAGTACCCCCAAGCCCCTCCAACCCCTGTTCTGCCCCCACAGAGGTGTCTGGCCCACCTCCTGGGCTCTGGGCCCCAGGTCCCTGGCCGCAGCCGTCCAGCCTGCAGCTCTGGAATTTCTGCGAGCCAGGATATCTCTTTTGTGGGGACCTGTGTGTCCCCCCAGAGCAGCTGTGTGACTTCCAGCAGCAGTGCCTTGGGCGAGACGAGCAGGACTGTGTAGGGCGAAGTGGGGTGGG